AAAGATTTTATTTATTCATAAGAGACAGAGAGAGAGAGGCAGAGGGAGAAGCAGGCTCCCCGCTGAGCAGGGAGCCCGATGCGGCACTCGATCCCAGGACCCTGGGATCGTGACCTGGGCCGAAGGCAGACGCTTAACCATCTGAGCCACCCAGGCGCCCTCTAAGATTCCACTTTCTTAATGATGCTACATTCTACTCAATACCCATAATCTGTCCCCAGAAGAAGAGAGGTTTCATAGCTCAGAGCCTTTACTTTTTAAGCGACTATGAGCACCTTAGAGATTCTTCTTATTCATCTTTGAATCCATGATGCCAAGCTCCATGCCTTACACATATTGGGCACCCAACAGAAGTATTATTTGTTGAATGAAATAAACCTTCTGCTAATCGGATCAAGCTTTCCAACAGGCGGATGCTGGTCCGGGCAGCGTTCCGGGAGTCACTCTGCCTCTGCATCTGGTAGTACCGGAGAAGGACTTGATTACCCACATCGGACAGCCTGGGCTGTAGATTCCTAATCAGGCAGAAGTAGGTTTTCATCTTTTCCATGCTCCAGAGCTTCTTTGATTTGCTTGGGTAACCTGTATATATCAGGTACTAGGTCAGTAATTTCTAGGAACAGACAAACATCTGCTTTAAGGGTTTTGATAAAGTTCTTACACTCATTTTTAAAAAGATAACTTTCAGGTTTGTGGGCAGTGAAACCTAGATGACTCTGCAGAGCATATAGTTCAAGAATAAGTAGCCTTAGGATCTAAGCTCAATAAAGGTAAACTTCCTACAGGGGCTAAAATTATCCATAATAATTCTGGTCTGTCCTATTGTAATACACAGTATTTGAGTAAATCTAACTTAAAGAGAAACTTACATTTACAGATTTCTGTTTCATAATTCAGTCCAGTTTTGTGTACAAGAGATGAGTGATAATTCTATATCATACGGTTGCCCCCTTTCATCACAAAGAACATAATTCACCGGCTGTAACACCCTCGGTAGGCCCTTTCCCTCCTGCTCGTTATTCTGGGTGCACTAAATGGCTCCTCAGACAGCCTTCTGTGCAGGCATCTCTACTGCCGCTTAGGTAGGGCGCCTTGGGTATTTACTTCATTTTCTTCAAAGAGAATTCCATTTGGTGATGTCTACTTTTTCTTGGTCAACTTGAATGATTTATCTCCACGTACCTTTGTTTTCTAAGATAAAGGAGGAAATTATACGATCCCAGTCTTCATTCTTGGTATCAAGCAAAACCAGGATCAGATCAAATCGACTTAAGAGGGGGCTGCCGAGGGCGATGTTCACAGACACGGACTCATGGGGGTCATACTGGCCTTTGGGGTTAGTTGCTGCCAGGATGGTGGTCCTTGTGTTCAGCTTGCACACGAGGCTATTAAAAGAAAGGGTACAATTCACTGACTGTTGAGATTAAAATAAAAAGCAAAATTAAACTTGTTAATAAAAAGGGGCTCCTCTTGTACCCTGAAAATCTAGAGAGACTTGTGTGAAAAAGGATGTGGAATGATACAGGGACATATCACAAACATCAAGTTTGAAGGAAGTACACTTACAGTAACCTATCCTGAAGGGAAGTTACTACTGAATAAACACTTCTTATGCCCCTACTATGAGCAGACCCTTCTGCTGGGTGTTAAGAGGTATACGAAATTAACTAAACATGGATTCTGCTCTTAAGGAGCTTGAAATCTATGAGCTATAATGGTAAGAGAGGGAAGACTATGGTAAGTTCTAGAAGGATAAAGTTCCCAAGGTAAGTAAAGATGATGTATATTCATTTATGTGGATGGAAGAGATGATTAGAGAAACATTACCAAGTAGCTTTTGAACTGGACCCTTCATAACATCTGGACTTTTTTTAAGTGGAGGTAGATAAGTGTGTGTATATATACACACCTACATACAAATATACATACATATATGCACACACACATGTTTGTTGAGAGTGAAGATGAGGGGCAGGGGTAAGGGTGACTTTGGAGAATGGTTAAGTGGTTGAAGCAAAAACTTCCTGTGTGCTCGCTTCTTTTGATTTTTCTAAAAGTGAAAGAAACAAGAGTCAGAGAGAAGGGGGGGAGGGAGGGAGAGAAACAAAGGAAGGAAAAGAGGGGGAGAGGGGGAAAGGAAATCAGGAAAAATAAGGATTGATTAGCATCACGTCTTTTGTTTGTTTTGAATATAGTGGAGACACAATGTTACATTAGTTTCAGGTGTATAACTTAAGTGATTTGACAAGTTTATACATTCTACTATGTTCACCACAAGTGTAGCTATTATCTGTCCCATTACATCGCTACTACAATATCACTATGTTCCTTATACTCTGCTTTTTATTCCCGTGACTTACTCATTCCAAAACTGAACTCATTCCCTCTCCCTTTCACCTATTTTGCCCCAACTCCCATCCCCCTTCCCTTTGGCAATCATTAGTTTGTTCTTTGTAGTTATAGTTCTGATTCTGCTTTATTTTCTTTAGATTTCATTTATGAGTGGACTTATATAAGGTATTTGTCTTTCTCAGTCTGACTTATTTCACTCAGCATAATATCCTCTAGGTCCATCCATGTTGTCTCAAATGGCATGATCTCATCCTTTTTTACGGCTGAGTAATATTTGTGTGTGTGTGTGTGTGTGTACATACACATCATATTTTCCTTATCTATTTGTCTACTGATGGACACTTAGGTTGCTTCCATGTCTTAGCTGTTGTAAATAATGCTTCAATAAACATAAGAGTGCATATATCTTTTTGAGTTAGTGTTTTTGTTTTCCAATAGCGGAATTATTGGACCATATGGTGTTTCTATTTTTAATTTTTTGAGGAACCTCCATACTGCTTTCCACAATGGCTATACCAATTTACATTCCCACCAACAGTGCAGGAGGGTTCCTTTTTCTCCACAACCTCACTAACATTTGTTGTTTCTTATCTTTTTTATTTTAGCATTCTAGCAGGTGATATCTCATTATAGTTTTGATTTGCATTTCCGTGATGATTAGTGACGCTGAGCATCTTTTTATGTGTCTGTTGGCCATCAGTATGTCTTCTTTGGAAAAATGTCTATTCAGGGCCAGAAAATCCTAAAGAATCCACCAAAAAAGTACTAGAATAAACAAATTCAGTAAAGTGGCAAGATACAAAATTAGTACCAAGAAATCTGTAGCTTTTCCATACACTAACAATGAAACTGCAGAAAGAGAAATTAAAAAAAAAAAACACCATTTACAGCTGCACCAAAAAGAATAAAATACGTAGAAATAAGCTTAACCAAAGAGGTGAAAGACCTATACTCTGAAAACTATAAAACACTGATGAAAGAAATTGAAGGTGACACAAACAAATGGAAAGATTTTTCATGCTCATGGGTTGGAAGAACAAATACTCCTAAAATGTCTACACTACCCAAAGTAATCTATAAATTCAATGCAATCTCTATCAAAATACCAACATTATTTTTCACGGAACTAGAACAAATAACAAAATTTGTATGGACTCACAGAAGACCCCAAATAGTCAAAACAATCCTGAGAAAGAACAAAGATGGAGGTATCACAATTCTAGATTTCAAGATATATTACAAAGCTGTAGTAATCGAAACAATATGGTACTGGCACAAAAACAGACACATAGATCAATGGAACAGCATAGACTCCAGAAACAAACTCACGAATTACATGGTCAGTTCATCTATGAGAAAGGAGGCAAGAATACACAATGGGGAAAAGACAGTTTTTTCAATAAATGGTGCTGTGAACTGGACAAGACTGAAACTGGACTACTTTCTAATACCATGCACAAAAATAAAATGGATTAAAGACCTAAACATGAGACCTGAAACCATAAAAATCCTAGAAGAGAACATGGGCAGTAATTTCTCTAACATCAACCATAGCAACACTTTTCTTTTTCTTTTTTTTTTTAAAGATTTTATTTATTTATTTGAGAGAGAGAGAATGAGAGAGAGCACATGAGAGGGGGGAGGGTCAGAGGGAGAAGCAGACTCCCTGCCGAGCAGGGAGCCCGATGCGGAACTTGATCCAGGGACTCCAGGATCATGACCTGAGCCGAAGGCAGTCGCTTAACCAACTGAGCCACCCAGGCGCCCAACACTTTTCTTTTTCTTTCGTTCTTTTTCTTCCTTCCTTCCTTCCTTCTTCCTTCCTTCCTTTAATAGATTTTATTTATTTGAAAGAGAGAGAGTGTGTGTGCTTGTACAAGCAGGGAGGAGGGGCAGAGGGGGAGGGAGAGGGACAAGCAGATTCCACATTGAGTCCCTAAAGCGGGGCTCAATCTCAGGACCCTGAGATCATGACCTGAGCTGAAACCAAGTCAGACGCCTAACCAACTGAGCCTCCCATACAGCAACATTTTTCCAGATAAGTCTCCTAAAACAAGAGAAATGAAAGCAAAAATAAACTATTGGGAATACATCAAAATAAAAAGCTTTTTTTACAGCAAAGGCAACCTTCAAGAAAACAAAAGACAACTTACTGAATGGGAGGAGATGTTTGTAAATGATAAATCCGGAAAGGGTTAATATCCAAAATATATAAAGAACTTATACAACTCAGCACCAAAGAAACCAAACAATCCAATTTAAAAATGGGCAGAGGACCTGAATGGTTATTTTTCCAAAGAAGATATACAGATAGCCAACAGATATGAAAAGCATCACGTTTTTGAAGAGCAACAGTGAAGGGCAGACTGAGGAGGTCTGGGTGCCGTGGGCCAATTATATGGGGAAAATTGTGGCCAGGACCCATGGAGGAGATGGGGCAATGGTATGGGGAGAGGCACACAAGTCCTGAAGGAGCAGTGGCACCGTGGGTATGGTTATGCCATAACTTAGATACTGTTTTTAAACTTATTAATGATGGGCAAGTCCCTAAAATAACATGGCATATTCATTAACAATAACAAATGTAGATAGATTCTTTTCTCTCTGCAAATCTGTATGCTCTCCATTCAATGGCCGTTTTTAGTTATAGTGGCATGTCTGCCTCTCAGCAGTCACAGCCCGGTGACATCAGCAAACATGTGCTACATTTGTTAATGTCTATTTCCAGTTGGCTCTAGTGATCAGCCCATGCCCTAAGACTGAAAAAGTTTGAGAATCTTTATTTGTGGTAAATGGCACAAGAAGACACTCATCAAAGAAAGACAAACAAGGCACCAATCCCCCCTTTAAAACCAAATCCCCTTTAAAAAAATTACTGAAAGGGAAAAATTCTGAACAGACGGTCTACATCTTATAATATATGTGCCAAAATGGCTTTATAAAGGCAGTTGTTTAGAACTTGGAATCCAGTTTGCCAAAAAGAATGTAGTAGATTGCTCCTAACTAATCCCACTAAACACATTTAATCCATACTGAAGTGAGGCTGCTTGCATTTATCATGGAAAAGGAATATTGCTGGAATACCGGCAAAGGAACAAAATACAACTGCATACAAAGTGATTTTTTTTAAAAATTATTTTCAATGTGAGGTAAAATTGACTGTTCTTCCTCTCTCTGATCAACAAATAAGCCATTTCCTGTTTGCAAAGGACTGGACAGATTTCAAGAAGGTATACAGTGGTCCCTGCCTTCAGTCAGTTTACAATAGAACTGCTGGAGGATGGGGAGGTTCTACGCAGCGCCTGCCAAGCAATGGATGATGGCATCCATGTCAGCATTAGCACTGGCAAAGAGACACTTCCACGGAGACTCCTGGGTATCTACAAGGTATATAATCTTACAGCTAACCATGATATGAGAAGGAAAATAAACAAGCAACCACAGAAAGAAGGTGGTGAATTATTCCTAATTGGGACAAAATGAAATGAATAAGCTTAAGGAAGGGGGCCAAGGACAATTTATATGTGAAGAAAAGGGCTGCCTGATAAGCAGTTAGTGGAAATGTGAGCAATGAAAAATTGGGGAGTGGTCATCTGAAAGAAGGGAAGGTGGTACACATGCCTAGTGGTTGCAGATCTGTGATACAAACAAACACTACTGCATTAGAAGCTGAATGGGGCTTTAGAAAATGCAGATACACATACACAATCGAATCCTAAGTACTTTGTGCATAGTGGTGGCTCACTAAATAACTCCTTAATGAACTCACCAATTAGTGTAAGGTAACGGTCATTTTTCCAACCCAGTAGGACCTCCGCTTTCTTCCATAACAATAATAACAGTAACTACCGTACCTGTAATAGCAAGATTTGTGCTAGGCTTTATGTATACATACTTTCCCTAAGAGGCACAATCACCTGAAAGGTAGATAATGTATCACCAACTTGGAAATATGGAAAGTAGAAGTTGAAAGATGTTAGTAACTCCCTGACAGGTGACAGAGCAGCAGAGCTGCCATTCAAACCCAGACCAG